AAGAGAAAACAAGGCATTTGATCGCAATATTTTTCATCTAAATTCTTCCTCTGCATTCCTAGAAGAATACTGCAGGGAGGGGAAGAGTATCCTTTTAGCATCTGGAAAGCATTTCCTCTTGAATCTTCAATCCACTGTCCAGGAAAGCACACATCCTATGGGTTTATGCTTTGAAAACGAGCTAGTTAAGATAAATGACACGAGGAGCCACTCCACTTAGATAAACTGAGAAAGAGAAAGGAAATAAATATCTGTGTGATTTATAGTTCGTGTTTCAAAAGCAAGAGATAAAAATGCCTGATTCATGCTAAAATGAAGATGGAGGCAGCTGAGCTATGGGTGGAGGGAGGGTGGTTGCTGTGCACTGCTAGTCTGTTCCAAGGTCACTGCCCAGCCAGCCTTGCCTGGTGCGAGGAGGAGAGACCTGAGGTTATGTGTCTGCTCAGCTGCCTTCCGGAGGAGCAGCTGGGAATTGCCTAAGCTCTGTCATTTAGCCATGATGCTCCTGTGGGCTGGAGCCAACCAGACTTTTTAAAATCATCTTCCTCCAGCAAGGAGACCCCTGGATTCCTAGTACTCTGCCCCCTGCAGAGATTCATGTCCTGGGACCCCCATCCTGCTAATGACCCAGGAGCTTGCCAGAGCTCCAGTTGTGTGAGCCTTAGACACTGCCCAGGCATGCCATTTGGACGCTGATGCAGGAGTCAGAGGTTCGAACCAAAAGAGCAGCTTTTCTTTTTTATTTAAAGTACAAATGAGAAGGCTGTGGATTAAGATGTTTTAAAGATCCCGCTTCCCAATCCTTTTGGGACCCTCCTACGCATGGGACATGGAACACCAGATTGCACTCCGCTGCATCCGGCCATCCTGTCCACTGAGCGAGATGTGAGAGAATGAGCTATTGCAGTCACTCTGGCTTTGGGAGGCCACTAGAGGGACACCGCAGGACACCAGGGCTTGGAGAGGGCCCCACACCTCAGCAGAGACAGGCTCTAATAAGAAAAACACGCTCTCATGTTCCGAAATATAAAACTGGGGCTTTCTGCCCACTTAATCAGGAACAAAATATTGTCGGTATTCTGGGCAAGAGAGAAATGTATCTTGCATCTCAGAGGGAAACAAAGCAACTTTTTAAATTAAGATCTATTTTCCCAATTCAATTGTTAAAACAAAACTCCACGAGGATTAATATATATAATATAGGTTCATTCTTCTGTGCTTCGTCATTGATAGTTTTGCTTCGCAGACTAAATAAGTAACTGATGTGAATTTGTTTCTCCTTTTACAGCAAAATTAAAACAGCCAAGATTTATTGTGTAGTTAGCACATGTGCTGTGCTAAGAGCATTTATGTGGATTTCCTCAGCATATCCTTCCCTGTGTTCCCCGGATTATGTAGAAGCCGTGCAGACAAAGGGGGTTTGCACCCAGGTTGGTGACAACACAGCCCACACCTTTAACCACACACATTCTGCCTAGCACGTACCATAATCTGTTCGGCATCACCCAGGCCCATTAAGTCCACTCCAAGCAGAGGTGTGGGATGGGAGCCAGGATATTTGTCCCACCTGAACCATAGGAACCTCTGGGGCTGCTAGTCCTCTAGCCCCTGCTACTGTCTGGGGCAGGGGTCCTCAAATTACGGCCTGCGGGCCACATGCAAATACAAATATTGTATTTGTTCCCGTTTTGTTTTTTTACTTCAAAATAAGATATGTGCAGTGTGCATAGGAATTTGTTCATAGTTTTTTTTTTAAACTATAGTCCGGCCCTCCAACGGTCTGAGGGACAGTGAACTGGCCCCCTGTTTAAAAAGTTTGAAGACCCCTGGTCTGGGGTGTCCTCTGAGTTCTCTCCCAGCAGGAAAGCATAGCAGTAGGTTTCCAGCTGGGATTTATATCATCTCCCAAAACTTTCTTTTAGGAGAATATGCATATATTCAAAAATGTGAGACATATAAATCAAAGAGTTAAGAAGGGGCCTCTGGGTTTTTCTTAGGTGACTCTGGCAAGCTCTCAGTGTGTTTTCTACCGGCTGCTCCCATACAGCAGGTTCAACTTCCCCAGACAGACCCTTCCTCCCGGAATAATGCCTTTCCTTTCAGCACACAGAGCTCTTACCAGAATTTACCTATAACATTGGACCTGAATGAGATAAGTATAGAATATAGGACATGGAAGAACACAGAAATGTCTTTGGCTCTAGATCCCTCAAAACCAGAAAGATAAACTGCAGGGAAGGCCCAGTGAGAAGAGCAATGGGCAGAACAGGTGACTGTGAGGAAAAATTAGTACCTCCACATATATACATATTTACAACAGAGCATAAGGGAAATCCGACATCCATTTAAAAATCTTTCTTCAAAGAAATCCAGAAGTGTGAAAGCAAAGGGGAAGCAGAGACATGCTCTGGGAGAGCTTTCAGAAGAGGCGGGACATTAGCCCACTGGGAAAGGCAGTGTGAGGGCTGGACTCCCAGGTGGGCTGTTCATGGCAGGAAGGGTGGTCGTTTCCTGGCTGTGGCCCAGAGTGCGGAATGGGAGAAGGAGGAATGCTGGAGGAGGCTGGCGGGAATATCAAATCACTGTCCTGGGAGGGAGGAAATGACTGGTCAAGGGTGTTAGGATTGGCTGCCATTCTGGGGTGGCTATGTGAGATGGTGACCTTTTTGAGTGAGAACAGGGGCTTGTACATTTTCTGGCAGTATTTAACAACTGAGCTCCAAGTGTGGAATGGGTGATAAGATGGATGTAGCCAAGTTGGGTCTCTGGGGAAGGATAAGGGGGAAGAATTGGGAGAAATTGTTAAGCCAGCTCTCCAGAGAAGGATGACAGCACTACTCATGGACTCTGGACTGGGGAGAGGACATGACATCCTGGACAGGGAGGGTGGAAATGCTGGCGCCCCAGGAAGACATAAGGACAATTGGATGCGAGAGCACATGAGCTGCCATGACCAGAGGTGGTGGCCAGAATGGAGTGCTGGGACCCAGGTTTCACAGATGAGGCACATAGAAGTTAGGAGAGTGGCTTAGCTGCACCAACAGAGACCATGTAACCAGGGCTCACCCCCGGGAGGTGGCATGTCCCTTTCAAGAGGAAGCCTGAGTTGGTAGGAAGGTGTGGTAGCTCTGCTCATTCCGACACCCTCCATCCTGGGACTCCACCCACCTTGCAGGTTGCCCTTGCCCATGTGACTAGAGCTGGCTCACTACAGCCAAGCCTGTTGCAGCCCATGGAGGGGTGAGAGGAGGAGGAGGAGGCAGAGTCTTTGTAGGACACACATGGAAGGACCTGCTTCACTTCCGTTGGCATCCTGCTGGGAGGGAGGACAGGGGATCCTGGCTGAGGCAAGGTCAGTGAATCTGAAGTGATGGGTCTCCAGCCCTTGAGGAGGCAGGTGGGCTGGGAATACAGAATCTTTCCAGGGATGCCCATTCAGGCATCCTAGTAGGAAGAAAGGTCTCTGACCCTTAAATGTTGATAAGTGGCCTCATCACTATCCTGAGCAAGTGACCAGGCCCCACACAGGCCAGAGGTGAAAGCAGACAGTGCCTCTCACCCTCCTCTATTTTACCATCTTTAGGAAAAACATCAATTTTATGCTGGGAGGCTCAGTTCAGCAAACCTGGGATCCATATCCCAGCTTATGGGTCTTTACAACAAGATGTATAAGACTATTTTGTACATAGTGCCTTGGCTGTCTGAAGCTCTAGTTGGAGTTCGAATTTAATTTCTTAAATTTGTTACTCAGATGATGTTTACATGTGACATAGCCCCGAAAAGATAAAGAAAGTGAGGAGCAGAGAGACTAAGGACGTGCTCAGGGATGATGGCTGATGAGAGCAGGGCAGGACCACAGCTGCCTCCTGGGTCCTTCCCAGGCCACCATCTCAGTAAACCTGAGCTTTATTTCGAAATATTTAGCCCCTTCTGGTTTGGCTCAGTGGATAGTGTGTCGGCCTGCGGACTGAAGGGTCCCGGGTTCGATTCCGGTTAAGGGCACATGCCTGGGTTGTGGGCTTGATCCCTAGTAGGGGGCATGCAGGAGGCAACCGATCAATGGTCTCTCTCATCAAGGATGTTTCTAGCTCTCTCTCCCTCTCCCTTCCTCTCTGAAATCAATAAAAATATATTTTAAAAAATAAAGAAATATCCAAGGGCAGCAGTATTGAGGACAGCATGATGGAAGGACAGAGCCCAGGTGTTCTGCACCTCCATCTCACACATGAGCATGCACAGTGCACAGCAGTCACCCACACACCCTTGACAACCCAGGAAGCCTTCATTCAGTAAGCCACAGAAAAGATGAAATACTTCCATTTGTGACGACATGGATGAATCTTGAGAATATCATGCTAAATGAAATAAGTCAGAAGGAAAAAGTCAAGAACCATATGATTTCACTAACATGTGGGGTATAAAACTGAAAGCAACAAACAAACAAAACTCATAGACACAGACAACAGTATGGTGATTATCAGAGGGGAAGGGGGCTGGAGGGGAGGAAAAGATAAATGGGGTCAACTATATGGTGAGAAAAGGACACTTGACTTTGGGGGATGAATACATAATACAATATATAGATGATGTAATATAGAATTGTACACCTGAAACCTATATAATTGTATTAACCAATGTCAGCCCAATACATCTAATAACGTGATTTTTTTTAAAAGAAAAAGCAATACTAGGAAGGAGACAGAAAGCTGGGAGCTAAAACTTTACTATCACCACAGTGTACTATCATCCCTGGCAGCATGCAGATTAAAGTAAAAATCGAAAAGGATGCTACTCTAAGAACTTCCACTGACATTCACAAGATTTTCCAGACACATTTTAAAGCTCGCTTGTTCAGGCAGTCCTGGTGACTTCGGCCTCTTTGCTCGTCGGGATTATGTGATGGTGCTCAGTGCTTCTACCTTTAGACACAGGAGCTCCTAGGATTCCCCAAGTATATTTGCAAACTATGAAACTAGTTCCGATGGCCTGGCGGTTCTTACCTGGGAGGACAGGCAGATACTTTGCAAGGCACCACCCCTGTGGCAGGCCGGGTGTTGGGATTGCAGAATGACGTATTTACTTGAAACCTCAGGTCTCTGTAGCAGCCTTCTCGGGTGGTCATCTGCCCTGTATGAAAGGGTGAGATGCATGATAAAGACTCAGGGACATGTCCCATGGTAAAAGGCAGGTGAAGAGCTAATGAAGTTCATCAGAAAAAAACACACACTTTACTGTATTTGCATGGCTTTGTGTTACTGAACAATTGGCCAGCTGTTGATATTCTACTTTTCTGACCATTCCTCATGACTTTTATTAGTGAACTAGAGGCCCGGTGCACAAAAATTTGTGCACTGGGGGGGGGGGTCCCTCAGCCCATCCTGTGCCCTCTCACAGTCTGGGACCCCTCAGGAGATAATGACCTGCTGGCTTAGGCCTGCTCCCAGGTGGCAGAGGGCAGGCCCAATCCCTAGGTGCAGCCCCTGGTCGGGCTCAGAGCAGGGCCGATTGGGGAGTTGGGGCGCTGCCCCCTGTCATGACAGAGCAGGGCAGATCGGGAGGTTGCGATGCCACC